GGGGGGGGGGGGGGGGGTGAGTGAAGGGGGGAAGGAGGGCACAGTGTGTGCAAGTGAAGAAAGGTGGGGGGGGAGACTTACCCAGCGACTTGTGACCTCCTTGCTGGATTCCCATTGACTTTGCTTAGGGGAAGTCAGCAGGGAAGATTGCAAATGATGATCATGTGATTGCAGGGCACTTAGCAACTGGTCATAAGTGCGAATGGGTTGCCAAGCACCCAGATCGCAGTCACATGACCATGGGGGTGCTGGGACAGCTGCAACTTCGAGGACTGGTAGTAAGCCTCCTTTTTCAGCAGCGTTGTAACTTTGAACGGTTGCTGAACGAATGGATGAATGGTCGTAACTCAAGGACTAGCTATACTCACAGGTTTGCTTTGAATAATTCATTTTTTAAAATTTACAAAGTTGGTTTAATCATTCACTGCTTAATTATTTTAAGTCATGGGGTGCATCTGTGCTTGTGGCTAAAATTAAAATATGGGGAAGATTTATACATGTTCTATGTTGTTAGAGGTGAGAGTGCAGGATTGCTCCTTTGAAACTTTGAAGTAAAATGTATATGGAAATATCTCCACATATATGTGCTGTGTTGTGAAACACAGAATTCTATTTGTTGCCTTTTGGATAGCTGATATTTTTTCATGATACAGAATCATGCCAATAGCAGGAATTAGAGGCCTGTGGAGTTTGGTAAATATGCTAGATATTCTAGTTAACTTCTTAATTGCCCCGACCCTGCTGGCCTTTCACAGGGCACTAAAAACCTGCTTTGCCATTGAGCCTGGGGCCCTGATAGCATGGGTGGGCATGTGTCATGGTTTGTTTTAGTGTTTGTGAGTCTTCTCAGCTGCTATTTTTATGTCATTTTGTTGTTTTTAACGCTGGTTGTTGTTTACTCTGTTTTAATTGTGAGCCGCCCAAATTCACGTATATGAGATGGGCAGCCTATAAATTTAATAACTAACTAACTAAATAAATTTTATTGTCATAGTAAATGATCATAGTAAATCAAACGTTTTATAACAAATGTTGATTATAGGGGAAGGGAATAAGTAACTTTTATTTTTTATTTTATTTTTTGTTTTTTGTATTGTGCGTTTTATGCATTTTATTTATTTTTTTGTAAGCTGCCTAGAGTCATGTATGTGAGATGGGCAGCTATATAAATGAAATAAATAAATTAGAATATAGTATCTTGGGAATAGAATTACAAATGAAAATTAATCGTGACAACAGAGAAAACGTGATACATGTTTAAATAAAAAGCAAAAAAATGTTTCCACAAGATTATACTTAATTTGTTTTTGAATTGGTTCAAAGAAGAATATTTCAACTGCTCATTTTCAGTGTAAGGCATAGAAAGTTGAATTGTAATTTTTGATGTTTCTAATTCAAATATTGCATTAGACTGTCTCAGGTTCTCAGTATAGTCATTAACTATATCCAACTCTAATTAAGTGTGTAGGGTATACCTTTTCCTGAGGCATTAGCAGAGATGGAACAGCATTTCTCCCCAAGGTCCACATATCCCTGACCTTGCTTGCCTTCAAGAAAGAGGAAGTAAGGCTGAATGTTACAGTATTGAATTGTTTGGTTCCACCCCCTACCCCCTCCCACCATTAGAATTGTGTTTTAATTGTTCTACTATTCTAATCATTGTTGCTACCCAGAGTCTTCTATAAGTGGTGGCCAGGAAAGTTGAAATTATAAATAAATAAATGTTGTTGTTATTGCCCAGCTGGGAAGCAGCCCCTGGCTAACTGTGCCTGAATTGAAAAAGCTGGGTGGAGTTGGATTAGCTGGGATAAGTTTTTGTGTCCATGCAATGAATGAATGATTGTTTAGATTGATAATTTGAAATCTTGAACATTTTTTAGTTCTTTTTTGGCTTACTAACACTATTAAAATTATATAAATAGCTAACTAGTAAATTACTTTTCAATTTGTCTGGTTGGGGGGGATTGTTCATAGTTAATTCTGTTCTTCAATAACAAAGTATGTTTAATTTATAGCTTTGCTGGTGGAACATGGGATTGGGAATATTTAGGATTTGCATCCCCTGAGGTAATTTTTGTCATTTTTAATTATATAAATTTGCTTATTAGAGAAATGATGAAGGAATTTCACTTTGCATGAATAGCTTCCCAGTGTTGTTGCAAATTGTACAAAAGTTTGCAAAATGTGGATGGGCTTTCTATTTTTGTAGCTTTACAATGCAAGAAAAATATTTTTTTCTATCCAGTGGTGAATATATAACAGACAAATTTCTGCCCTAAAGAGTTTGATCAGGCACTCTGGTCTTCCAGCTTCTCCAGGTCTGCTTGAGCTGTGGCAGGGAAAACAGTGATAATTGTCACAACTGAAATAGATTTTTGAATTTAGTTAAACAAGGGAGAGTGATTCTCTTCCATCCCTTGCAAATGAAGCTCCCTACTTGCTCCTTATTGTCCAAAAAGGAAAGCTATGTGTAAGGTTGTCATGGGCAGAGCGTCCCTTGTCAACAATGTACCATAAAATAGCAGTTGCAGTTGCTATTGTTTACTGAGCCAGCTCCTGAATCGAGATTAGTATTTAGTTATGGTATTGGTACACTGTTTTCATTTTTTTATTTTTGATGCCTCTTAATTGGCTACAGTCTTGCTTGTAGTTATATGTATTTAAGGATCTTCCCTTTAAATGAAGTTCATATGTAATTTGAATGCGAATATGTGCCTGTAAGATAATTTTTCCTTGCACAAGCCTTGAATCACAGAGAAAAGTCATAAAAGCTAGATGTAAATTGTCCCAGATTGCCAGAGGAGTTTAATTCACTTTTTGCATTTTCCTCAGTTACTAAAAACACGGAAACATATTTTTTTAGACCTGTAGTGTGATATTCAAGATTTTTATCTTTCTTTGTGGTCTTGGTGCCTTGCCCATAAAGTTGATGCTCCTGCACAGAGCTCATGTTGCAAACTTCTGGTGCTGTGGAGGATCTTTTGGTAGGAATATCCTCATCCCAGCGTGTGTGCTCCTGGCTGTAGTTTCTACCCATCTCCTTGGCAGTTACTTTCTTACTTCAAAATAAGCAATTGCATCTGGGTTCTTCTCAGAGATCAATTGTTTCTTCTTGCTTTCTATTGTGGACAACATTTTTTACAGGTTTTCTAGTTTTATGTTTGTAAATCTTTTCTTTTTTAACATTTATTGCCTGCTCTGCACACAGCTTTGAGTTCCACTCTATCCCACCCCTCATCATTTAGGATTGTAGAGTTCATGACATACAAAGTAGCCTTCTGGAAATATTCTGAGTATGGTGGAAAATTGCCACCTGTCAGTGGTCAGTCTCTTTGTCTCATCTGTCTTGTGCACATTGCCACTACTTCATTAAACAAGTTTGAAGGAATTGTACTTCTCACCTGAAAGTGGGGATGGATCATGGTTATCACAATGCCACTGACCTCTTCTGTGGTCATTGGCATCTTCTTATAAATTTACTTCTTCTTATAAATTTACCTATTTTTCCAAAGTTGCATCATGACTCTCTTTTTTCTATAGACTATCCTGTCTAATAATCAAAACCATAAATCATAAGTTCATTTTTTTCTGTTTTATATAAAAAATCCATAAGGGGTTTCCAGCCAGCAATAAATGTAGATAATGTTTTTTATTTAACAAAGAAGTCAATTTGGCCATCTTAGAAGTTCCATCATCTTCACCAACCATTCCTCCACTGTAGGTATTGCAAAATCTTTCCATTTTTGTGCACACAATAATCTTGCTGTAGTTATCGTATACAAAAACAAAGTTCCAAGACTTTTTCCCAATTGTTTGTCCATCAATCCCAAAAGAAAAACCTCTGGTCTCAATTGTGTGTATTTGAATCCAAAATTTTCTACCTTTAACTTTAGAGAAGTCAATTGATAAGTTAAGTGGCATTCTCGTAAAGAACGAAAAAATTAAAACTCATTTTTTCTATGTTCTAAAGTCTGTGAATATACCAGAAAGTAGGATAGATTTGGTTCACCCTTCAGATGTAAGGCCTCAGCCTCCTGTAGTTTTAACAGTGGCAGCCAAACTCCATTTTTAGCATTTAAAGTTGTTTCTGGGAATCACAAGAGTTGGTGTTGGACAGGGAATTTTTAGAATGGCACACACTGCTTTCAACTGCTGTAAAAATTAGATGTTCTTACTCAGGATCAAAGTTTAATATTCATCTCAACAAATCATTCCTTCACCTACTGGCATGAATTATTCTGCTGATTTCTTTTCAAAGAAAGTGATGAAAATTCTGGGTGCAGCCTGAAAGGCACCATTACTCATATGCAGCCAACTGGACCAGTTAGTCCATCTTTGTTTCTGATCTAGTTATGGACTTGTGAATTGTTTTCTACAGCCTGCATTTCAGTATTTCTTTTGCCTACTTTTCAAGACTCTTTTATTTCTTTTGGGTTTATGCTTTGGCTCTCCATGCTTTAGTGGACTTTGATTTTATGCATCATCATCTATACTTTCCCCACCACCACTGTTACCCTACTACAGTACTAACCTAGAGTCTTCCCTTGTTCTCTCTTGTTTGACCAGTAAGTCTTTGAAACCTTTATCCGTAAATATAATCTCATTAATTTAAGGTTGCTTGGTGATGGTGGCTATTCAGTTGTGTGCCCTTTCAAGTTGGTCACCCCTGTCTCTACTTCTATAAGAACTAGACAGTGTTAACTTTATATGTTTCTTCACAAACTTGTTTCTGCTTCCTATCAACCACTTGCCTTGCCTGCATTGTACCCTTCTACATCATTCCCTAGGCATTCATATAGCATTGGATTTATGTGTGGATTTTACTACTTCTATCTGTGATTCCCATTGTCTATTCATATGCTGCTAAGGTTGGACTTCCTAACCTTATATCTGTATTTTGTAAAGTGAGTATCTGTCACCCACTTGCCTACCACCTTGCAAGCAGAGATCTTCTTCTGGCAGAAAGTTTTACCGGAGTCATTTTCTCTTCACCAGGCTTATATAAAGTTGCCACTTGATCAGAACCTACACTCTTCATTCAGCATTATTGCCGAGGCATTACAGAAACAAAATTTGAGAGGGTAGTGAGTGCTCTTTTCTTCTTACATGATTAGGCATATTCTCCTATCTCTGTTGATGTAAGCTTGTTACTTACCTTTATGAATGAATCACAGAGACTATGGAGTAAAAAGACAGATTGCTTACCTCTGACTGTAGTTCTTCAAGTGATCATCTATGGGGACACTCACCTATTATCTGCTCTATTGATGCCTCAAATTCAAGGACAAATTTTTTCTCAAAGGTGAGCCAGTTTTGGGAAACTGAGGGAACAGGTGGAAACTATGATCAGGTGTACCCACTTGGTGTTAAGTGCTTCCAGCCAAAAAGACCCTTGCAACTCTGACATGGGGACTATGTAGGAGCACTTTCACGTGTGTGAAAGCATAGATGCCTGCTCAGAGAATCACAGAAAAGAAACATGCCCTTTTTATCTTTAGCATTTTGTTTTCGATCTGTTTTCTGTTTTGATCTGTTTCGATCTGTTTTTGATCTCGATAAATAGCACCATCATTTGTATGAATGAATTTACCATACTGTTGCAAGATAGCACAGTGGATTTAATAAAAACTGGAAAAATGAACAGCAAGGAAACACCATCCATGTAGTTATGAGACCCCAATCATCCCAGCCTAATCTGTCATTAGCAGATATAAAAGAGTGAACAAAATGAAAAGGGAATGAAAAATTAATCTTTCCAATTCCAGGCAAGTAAAATATGAACATGTTGTTCTACAGAAGTAGGAGTTGATTACCCATGGGATAAAGAGGAAGGGGTTTTTTCCTTCAGTCCTTCCTTTAGGATTGTTTTACTTTGTGATTTATACAATTTCATATACTTATGTATATTTCCTTTTTTATTGTCACTGGATAGCATTATGCTTGCAAGAGTATAGTTTGCTTCTAATAGTCAAATTAACTGGCTGGCTTTTTTCCAATAATTAAATGTTTGCAAAAAACATTTTAATTTTTAGAAATCAGTGAATATTATTTGAAGTTTGCACTGCTGTATCACTGGTATAAGAGAAATTAGTGATTTTTATTTGAGAGTTTACCTATTTATTATATAATGCTAAACAGTGAAACTACTGTCTTACAGAAACCTGATCAATGTTTAACTAAGATGAGAGCATTAAGAAAAAGTTGAAATAAGCTAGTCAAAAAAATCACCTTAGCAGCATTAGATGAAAAGGTTGTCTAGTCCAGAACTCTTTATCATTGACTGGGCCAACAATTTTTTTCCAAGAAACTCTTATGAACTATTTCATGCAGTTTATATCACTTTCAGCATCTAATGCTGATATTATTTAGAAATAATAACCATTATTAAAGAATAGACTATATGTACAGTCTTTTCAAAAAGGAAATCTCCATTAGCTACCACAGTCTGAAGTAGTCACAGATTTAATTAAGCTAATTATGCTTATTGAAAACACTATTTTGACTAATAAATGTTGCTGGGTGACTGATACCTTATGTTTACTCAGAAATGTCCTATTGAGTTCCATTGCAATTACGTATGTGTGCTCAAGTTTGCAGTCTGTGTTCTTGATTTTTGAAATAAGGAATACTTTGTCAGTTAGGACTATGTGCACTTCAAAAGTAATTTGGGCTGTTGATTTCTGTTGTCTCAAAAAACAAGTCAAAGCAAAAAAAGCGAGTCTGCAAAAATCAATTCAACTGTAAGCCTGTTCACTTTGAACAAAAATATCCCAGGATTACACAGAACGATAAACCAAGGATTTAATTTACATTATGTGATAGGCAGAAGATGGAAAATATGCTGATTAGATCAATTGAACATTTTTTCCAGCTATGATTCATGACAATGAGTTTGCTAGGATACTTAACCCAAAGGTATAGTTTATCAATATGGCACTTGCTAATTGCAGATTCTTTTGGTAATTAACTCACAGGCAAGCACACATCATAGACAAAAGTAAATTTCTGAACTGGTATACTTGCTGAGTACGTTTTAACAGAGACATTTACCAGTCAATTTTTCTTTGCAGTATTTATTTTACTATACAAAGAGTAGAAAAGAAACAAAAGTCTGTTCATCTAATCTACTACATTGTATCAGTGCTGCTAAGGGAAAAATAAAAGCATAGCATACCAATTTCACTGATGCAGGCTCAGTCTTTTATATTATAGAAATCTTATTGCCAGCATCAAATGTATCCTTAACAAAAAGGATATTGAATTTGGATAGATAATAGTGCTTAGCTTAAGGACTTGCCAAAAGGTATTATAATGTTAGACAAATCAGTTAGACAAATCAGTTTATATATATATATACCTTTTTGGTAAGGTGTGTGTATGTATGTGTGTGTGTGTATAAAATAAGTATAATTAAATTGATTGATTAAATTCAATAGGCCTTGAAACACTTGTAATAAGAATGCAACCAATCATGCAGCAGCAGCAGCTTCATAGATCTGTTAGCTGAATTTAGTAGTTTAGCAAATTTATGTATTTTTGGAATTTTATTTACAAAAATTGCATGGTGTAGGTTGTTATTTACTTTTTATGAAACAGGTGATTTTATATTGCATAAAATCACAGGGAATATTTTTTTTTCCATTAAGTGTGCTGTTTGTTGTGCTCCAAATATATTACTGCATGCTTCCCTGTATTTTGTAACGTTTGGTTTATGCAGGAATATGCTGAATTTCAGTATCGGAGGAGGCACAGACAACGTCGACGTGGAGACATGCAGAGTCTGCTGAGTAATGCTCCAGATCCTGATGATCCGAGTGAGAGTACACTAGGTAACTTTTTCATACAAGATCTTTATTTTCTTTTGAATTAGCTCAGCTTTCCTTTATTTAAACAGAAATTTAGTGGATGGATATCATTCAATCCTTTTACAAATAATCCATTAACATTAATTGTTTGATCACCAGATTAATTTCCAAAGACATTCCCTTGCTTAAATCCTCAGAGGAAAAGTAAACAAAAGGTATAATATTTATGATTTTTGAAATGAAAATTAGAGAGACTACCAGTACTTAGCAGTATTTGGCAAATGTAGGATTCTCAGAATTTATTAGTTTGTATCAAGATGGAAATGCAGTTTCCTGTTTCATAATAAGCTGAGAATCACTTTTTCCCCTTTCTACTGTGATAGAAGAGTATAAAATGTAGTTTGAGATGCCCTCTATTTCTTTTTTTTTAATAGTATTTTATTGAGATTTTTAAATTACAAAGTTAAAAGTTAGAAATGAAAAAGAAAATTGAAAATACAAATTATAAAGAAAAGGAAAAGAAAAAGTGAGATAAAGTAAAAGAAAAAAGACATGAAAAATAGCTTCTAATCTATCTCTGGTCTTAAGA